AATGAATATTTAAACACAGAAAAGGCAGCCAGCATTAAAGACTTTCTTATTATTGAAAAGTTCACGATAGAAAATAGCTTATTACTTTCAATGCACTCGAGTTTTTCGATAAGCTTCATTATTTCGATACTCTTACGAGCTTTTATTCATTATTTTATCATTTATAAGTACCCATAAAATGATTCATAATAAATATAACTTAAAAATGTGCACATGCCTAAATACAGTACGATAGATAAAATTGTTCTTCTTTGCGTAGATAGAAGTAAAAGTATAAGAATATTTTTTTTTATTAACTGAGAATTTTTTTCAACAAAAATATATTAATATTACGAATATGCATGTGATGGTTACAGATTAGAAATAAAAACCTTTTCATAAGACAAGTTTAGGAAAATATAGATGAAAACATGATATTTTTCAATTAATATCCAAATAAATATCAGCGTAATATTTTTTTAGTCATAATGTAAATAATGAAAATTGGAAATTTGCGATAAATTATTATTTTTCTTGACGTTCTCTTTTAAAGGAAAATTGTCGATTTCGCCTTAATAAAAAAAAAGGAGAAATATTTTTTATTAATTAATGGCATATATTATAATTTTATTTTTATGTTCTTTTTTAAGTTATGTTTACAAGTTTTTATTAAAATCTTCATCAATAAATAGAGATAAACAGGAATAAAAAAAAACTACATCTACAAAATGTCAATATCATGATGCTGCTTTAAAGCTAAAATGGTGAGATAAAAAGTGTATTTTATAGAGACGGATTAGACAGATTAATAAAAATAAAGTTCCAATGGTAACATGAATTCCATGGAAACCTGTGGCAAAGAAAGTTGATCTATAAACAAAGTCAGCTATAATAAAGGGGGAATTAATATATTCAATTAATTGAAGTAGGGAAAAGTGCTCCAAGGGCAATTGTTATTAATTTTTTTTTCTTTCATTAGTATCTTTATTAATTAAGGCATTATGTTTCATTTTAAAGAAGAATTCTTAAAGAGAATGTTATGATGTACGCGTGCAAAAAAATATAAACATAAATCTTTATTCGATAATTTATTATAAATGAATTTTCTTGATGTGTATGTGTACAGCAAGAAAATTGACATATTTCTTCGGACAAATGTATTTATTTTATGTTTCTCGATGTTCGATTTCTGCAGTGGAAACAGAATAAGATTTCAAAAATTGCATTATATAAGCCAGTCCACGAACTCATCCATGAAATAAAGAAGCTTGTAGCCCATGTCTTTTAAACAAAGCATAATCTATGGATATTCAATATCTTCAATATCGATGGCTTGCTCTTGCATTTTAACTTTTCTCGGAAAGCTATTCGCGACATCCATCTCCCTGAGTTGCGTGTAAGAAGTTAAAAAAATAACCGAGATTTTTTTTCCTAGTTTCACTAACTGTCCTCGACTTTGAAATTCGACGAGATTACAGCGAGAAAAGGGATATCAAATATCTCGAGTCTTTCTCTGTTTTCTATCCCAGCGAACAAACGAGACAGCAATTTCGCAATTTATTGTCACCAGTTTACATTATACGCGCGACATTAAGACTTTCCTTATATATTGTAGGTGGTTTTCGTGGAAATACTGAAAAGGGCTACCTTTCCTGTGGAATATCCTATTATATTTATATTAATCCTTTTTTAGTAAGGCGGGTTAGATTCGTATACTTTACAACATTCATATCGCTATTTAATAAAGGAAGATTTCATGACACAATATATATTATTTAAAATAAAGTACTCGAAAAAGAGATTATAGGAGTCAGTGCAGTAAGATATGCGCTATTTAATTAAACAATATAATATTTAATAATAAGTCATTTAATTATATAATTTGCAAAATTTAAAAAAATGTCTCTGCTTTATATATTTACTTCTTTTTATCTATTTTATATAATACATAAAATTAAATAAAAAATGAACCAAACAGCATCGGGTCAGATTCAGTTCTACTTTTTTTAGATCTTTTGAAAATTCATTATCATAAGAGGACTAATTATTTTGACGATAAGGCACTGCTTCTTTTTTTTGTTGTTTAAATAGGGAAACAGACGAATGGAAGAATTTACATATATTAATCTAATGAGAGAATAAAGTCGATTTCGTCTAACGACGTAACAAACACCGTGCATTTTTATCGTGCACCATTTCCCCGATCGTACTCAAATCGCCAACGGCCTACTTAGAACCCACCCAGCCAGGCAATTTATTTTCATTTCTCCTAACGATTCTCGACTTTGCTCGCGCCCCACTTTCGACATAGACGACGAATAATTCGAGACCCCTTCGAGAACGACGCGATTCACTTGGCGCGATCGATCGCGTTAACGTTACTGCTCCCGAGGAACCTTGTAACGCGATTACGAGTGAGCTGGAAAACGCGTATAATGGCTTCCGCCGTCTCGGACGATGCGACATCGCCGATGTCGATTCGACAAAGGGAATGTAAGCACTGGGTTCTAACAGTGAAAGATTTTTTTATTCGAGCAAACGATGTGTAGGCAGCTGTCGCAACGTGTTCGAAAATCCTCTCTCGCTTCTGCTCACTTCCTCGCTACTGCAGCATATGTTTTGTGAGTTTGGAAAAAACCTGGATGTTAAACTTTTTAATAAATATTTCATCGAATTTTGTTTTAGCAACTTTGCACTCTGCTCCGCATATAAAGTTTCATGACCCAAAAATTAGGATTACGTAATACATTATACATTATATTTAGAAGCTTGCGAGATCAACAGAATTATGCATTATACATTACGTCTTGAGATACTCCTACAAAATTGCTACATAATTTTTATTAATTTATGACATACGTTATAATTTTGTCATTATTTTTTTTCCATCTAGAATCTAATATCCATTTCACAGTAGGTAAATTTTTCCACGTCAGAATGCAGAAAATTAAATATGTTAATTATATTTTTATTAACTTTGAGATTAGAAATAAATTTTATATTAAATATAAAATGAACGTTATTTTAATTGTAATTTAAAACTAAATTGTGTATAATAATATTTATTTAAAAAATTCTTAAATTATCAAAGAAAATATCTAGCAGACAGACTTTTCATGCAAACTAAGGCAAACACAACGTATTTTTTTAGCGCGTAGTTTTTTTTAATTATAAACGCATGTTGGCTTAATTGTAATTTAAAGTTAAATTTTAATGATATTTATTTTAAAAAATCTTAAATTATATACATAAAAGAAAATAACATCTATAGCTGAATCTCTATATTGAAGTAAACGTACTATTTTTAATACTATTTTTATATATATTTTCTTTCTCTCTTTTCTTCGATCCCTTTCTTTGCCCTTTCTGCGGATTTGCCGTTGTCATGCCGCGATTGCGGCACAACAGCTCGTAATACGTAAATTTCCACGGATGTATACGCACCGCTGCATGATTAAGAGAGACTCGACTTCCACGAGATGTAGTGACAAGGAACGAAATACGAAGGAGACGAGAGGAGATAACAGAGATAGAGAGGACGGTTTGGTACCGTTTGCATACCGCTGTATAATATACGTAACTGCGTTACGCGACGTACAATGCGCGCATTAGGGAAGGAATAACGATACGTCGTTTCGCCAGCTTTGCGCTGCTCTGATTTGGCCCTGACGTAATGATGTTCCGCGTCGCTTATTTGTTCCGCCGAAAGCGCCGCGTGACAGAGAGAGAACGTTGCAGACGAACAAATTTACTGTTTGACTGGCACATATACACTGAAAAAAATTGGTTCAATTAACCTGAAATACATACGTAATAACCAGGCTGCTTGTTTTGATTAAAATAACCAGATAAATTTGGTTGCATATATTCTGGTTACGATAACCCGCTATATTTAATTGTATGAATAGTGTTAACAATTTTTTATTGAAATATCCGATTTAATAATAACTGGAAATTCTGTCCTGTTCTACCAATACTACTTTAAATATATATTAATCCATGTTTTTTTTCTCTTCTAGTTACAATAATTGAATGTATGTTTGGATATTATTACCATATACGCGTTAACTAAATTAATTGGCATCATGAATGTTCTGGTTGCATCTCAAAATATTTGATTATAACCAGAAATTCTATTTATTTTTTCTTCAAAATTTGCTTAATGAAACATATCTTGTAAATTCGACCGTAACTGTTTTTTCGGTGTATATTTTTTTGTTTTTCACGAATGCAATTAGTAAAATACGCCAATGGAAATTTTGTTTAAAACTTTGTCGAATATCCTATATTTTTCATCCTATGATTGACTTCACAACATCTTCATTACATAATCGAATTACCTGAATCTCATTATAGCTCATCGATGCGACAGTGACTCGAAGTCTGTATGCATACGATCGTAATTAACGATCGTAGTCGGCGTATGTACGTGGAAGCCTTGTTGTTTGTCAATGACAAATTCGGAGCTCACTTGATTGAATGTAACAGCGCATACAACCTATCCGCGGCATATAACGGTTGTCTTATGAGATATTAAGCCATAATCCGGTCATCCCACATCACGTAATAGAATTGGTAACGTCATGGTGAAAACAACAAAAATCGTTGTGTTACAACGTCCGGTCGAGAAGCCGATATACCGGTAGGTCCCGCGAGGCAAGCATATATTCGCTCGTGCATGAAATCTGTTTGCCGGCTTTATCGCTCGCGTAGTTTCATGGCGCAGCCATTTGAAAAATGAAAAAGAGCTCGGTGGTGTACCGAATAACTCTTTACCCCACGACAATTCTTATTGCCTCGCGTGGTTGCGTGTTTTTTTTTATTTTTTTTATTTTTTATTGTGCAACACTCGACAATTTATTAGTACGCGACGATTTTCGGTGAAGCGAGAAGATCTTATTATCCTACTTTTTTAAACCTGTTTTAATTCTGTTGTATTTGCAAATAGTAATATATATTATTGTATGTGCTTTTATCTAATATTATACTTTAGATTTATAGCAAAAAATTTCATTACTCACCCTCGGCGACTTGCGTTTATTGGCGCTCTCGACACAGGGAAAGCCACCGCACTGAAACACATAAAATTTACTGTGTAATTTCGTTTGCCCTTCATTTGTCTTTTTCTAATTACGTCTAATAATATAAAGGAACTCTCTAAATTCTTTGTGAATCTCCAAAGAATTTAGAGAGAAAGAAGGAAAAATTATTGAATAGGTGAGGTGTTGTAGAATATCGCAATTTCTTACATAGTTTGCGCTGCATTGTGGGGGCGAACGTTAAAATTACTTCTTTACAATCTGCTTAGATGTTAAAAAACATGGTTACTGGTCGTTATAAGTTATTTACAACATTGCGTCGTGAAAGCTGTGTTTCAGTGTTGCAGGTAATAAACAGTTTTACACAATTGTATACTCTTTTTAAATAATTTTGAAAAGTATGTTAATATTAATTTTATAACATATCTATATTAACGTATGCACTTAGTAAACAATAAACTAAATTTAGATCAAATCACATTTTCTTGAGTTAAATTGCTTAATTCCAATATTTTAGTTAAATTAAGAACATTGATTCGAAGTAGTGACGACCTATACAAATTATTAAAGACAACTCAAATTGAGTATAATTTTACATCAATGAATTTAACAGTGCGATAAGTAAAAAATATATATATATCTTCGACAGCAATATTTCATTAAAATCGCTGTTAACAATTTAAAGCGCCAAGAAAGATCGTTTGCAAAGATTTTTACATGTAATATTGACCATAACTGGAAAAATATTTTTATGCACAAGATATCAGAACCAGAGATAGGTGACATAGATTGGCTTTATGGTAGAATAAATTGTAGATGGCATGTATAAACTGCATTCGAAGCGATAGCAGTCTTTATTGCCTTTACTGTAAACGCTGCGACTTCGTAGGGTTGACTGATCCATACAGTCATTTGGATTTAGCGAACCTACGTACCCGAGCTTTACTGCCGCCATTTGTGTACATCTATACATCGTACACATATCTATACTTATGCTTTTTGCACAGCAAATATATAATTGAGAAGAGTCGAAGCAAATCAAATATAAAAAGGAGCAAAATAATAAGAAATAGGAAGAACGATAACTTAGATTCATATAGATGGGTGGAAGACAAACTCATTCTTCTTATCGTTTTTATCGAACAAGAACCGTCGCGCTGCGAATATCATCAGAAAAATGTATTAACTTGCAGTTACATTATGGAATTGTGCACTGTTAGATGTCAAAGGAGTAATGGTAACCCAATCCGTAAATTAAATAACATTTTTGTTAGTTTTAACTTTCACGTGTGTCAAAATGTAAATCAATCTATATCTTTAGTTAATTTTAAAGTAAACGTCTATATTAACGTGTGTGTATATACTTAATACATAATAAATTAAATTTGAGTCAAATTTAATACATTTTCTTGATTGTTTAACTTCATTATTTTAATTAACGATATTGAATAGGAGTAGTGGCAACCTATTATTAAAAATAATTTCAATTGAGCATAATTTAATATTATGAATTTATAACAGCGTGTTCGCATCGAGAAAAGAATTTAACGATTAATATATACTTGTAGAAATTAATATATAGAAATTCATATTAAAATGAATTAAATTAATAGTGTTTGTGATTCCAAGAGTAAATCTAGTACAAGTAAAATGCCTGTGTGAGTCTGCGATTGTTAGTACATAAATTATATATTCATCAATTATATAATTCATACAAACAATTTGAATGTGCTTACCAAATGAAGTTAACTGCAGACGTTTCGACTCTGAATTTGAGTCCTCTTCAGTGCGATAATTAGTGAGGTCGAGTACAAACTGGTTTGCAAATTATATCTTATCTTATGAATATATAATTCAGGCACTAACAACCGCGAAGGCTCACATAGGCGTTTTACTTGTACAAGGAATTCATATAGTTACGAGAAAATTACAAGGAAATTATAGACATCGTGGTTATTAATTAATTCTTTCTATTACATTACAAGTGTAACATTGTACGTGCATTTGTAATAACGTTTACACTTTACATAGATGTATTTACAAATCAAGAGAATTATGAATATTGTAATACAAAACTCGCAGATGTAGTTCGATTCACGCTGATCCAAGCTATAATTTAACATGACAAAAAAACAATAATTTAACTTGACAAATAATGTAGACTTTTTTAATTTATTGCCTGTTCTCACGCATTTATTACGCTATAAACCAATAATAATAATTATATGCAAGCGAATGAAAATGAATCTCCTAATGGAATTTTTAGAAGATTGTTAAAAAACACATTGAGATATAAGTAGATGATAAATTGAAAAATATCTTTGCTATTATACGAGAAATATTTTACGAGTTCTTTCCAGGAAGAATAATTCCGATCGTTTTATCTAGAAAATTCCATTATTGTGTGTGAATCATACATACTTTCCGCGGAACACGTTTATACGCCACTATAATCGCAAAGAAATGCTCTAAATGTCGTCTGTACAAAATGGTCCCACAGAACTCGCCGGTGTGGCAATAATTCGGTGCGTCCTTCATCCGGCTCGTCTGTTTATTACAGCATACAGTTTGACGATGGTAGGAAACCGCGCGGGTTTTTCAACCCCCTCGTTACGCGGACGGCCGAAACGAGCCGTCATTTCAAAACGCGAGAAGCTCGCGCAACCATACAGCCGCGATATACCACGATACCGCAAATGCGGTTTATTATTTTATCGCGACGAGCATAAAAGTGGCGAGCTCGTACACGATTTCTGGGTCTCGCGTGCGTGCAACGAGCGCGATGCGCGGACAACCAGGTGAAACGATGCAAAAATGTCGTCGACTGACGCGCGGCAATCTTTTTTTTGTTACGTTGGAACTTAACTCTTAACTCTCTTTTAACTGCCTAACTGCCTCTAACTGCACTGTGTGTGAAGGAAGCGAGGTATTTACAGTAAAAACAAGTAGGGTGATTAATCGATTAAGGCTTCTTGCTGTTAGCTTGTTACATCGTTATTTCTGCTGCTCCATATGAAAATAATAAACGAGAGCGATATTTTGTAATTACAGTGCATTTTTATTCTGCATGTCAATAACTTTGAAAAAGCCGCTTTCATATTGTAGTTAAAAAAATGTCCAAATGTTTGTACCTACATATGTCAAATATTACATTATGTAAATATTTTCCGTACAAATTTTCAACAACTTAGTTCTCTCAAGCGCTAAATTAATCGGTTTTTATTTAAAAAAAAAACGCAAATGCGTATATCTCTGTTTAAAAGTGTATTTTGGTTTATGCAAAAACAGTTAATCGATAAAAATACTTCCTTTCTTAAACCTTAAATTTCAGAGCAGCTTCAAAAAACGAAACATTATTCTATTTTTATACATGACCTTTTTTACATAAAACAATTGTGTGTTGAAAACAAACTTATGTAAATTTGTATGAAATTTACTTCGATATGCATTGTTCTGGCAAAATGCAATTTTCCTGTCAAAAATATGACCTGAGAAACTCGAAACATGTCGGGATGGTGGACGAGTTTCATGAGGAAACGACGTGAAGGAAGGACGCTCGGTTTTGTCGATGATTTGCCGAGTGGTCGCGACGCGGAAGAATGGAATTGCTTTCCGCTTCCGGCAAATGAGTCCATTAAATATTTTAAAACAGTTGTTTTTTTAATAATTAAATATAAAATATGATAAATTTTCTAAAAAAATCTTTCTGACATTTTTTAAATAAATCGAGATGACATTAATCAGAATTAATTAGAAAATTAAATACCTCGAAGATGTTTAAATTTTTATGAATGAAAAAGTTACCTCTAAAATAAGTTCTCTTTAACAAAAAAAAATCAGCATCACATTCGCACTATTCGTTTAAATTTACGTTTAATTGTATCACACGAAAAATCTCGAATATACAGTGAACACGCATAAAAGTTTCAAAGGCTGATACTTCGATCCTTTACCGACATCGTCCTCTATCCGCGAAAGATTCACGGTCGAGAAGGGTGGACAGCATTTTATCCTGTTCGCGTGATCCACCCATCGCGATGATTAAGTCGTCCTCGGAGTTTTATTCTCAAAGGATGGAAAAAAGTTTCACAACGAAGACTCGAACTCCCTCTTTCCGTCTAGGACAGAAGCGTAGTTTTATCTTCGATCACGTTTCGCGCCGCGATGCGGTCTCGTTTGCGCAAAGTCGAGCAGGATAATCGATACGTCTTCGTCCGTTCTCGCCACCTAAAGCCGTCGGGATGTTATTTCTCGTCGCTCTCTTTGCCCTTCGTTACATGATCTTTTATTATTATGCGCGTCCAAGGCTAAGAACGATTTACGCGACATCATTTTTCTCTCATCAAGCGAATAACGATCCAAGGATAATAAAGAAAGCTAATAATGCATTTAAACGACTCAATCTTATTTCGCGAAGACGCGAAATTTTTTCTTTATTCAAAAGATCGATTTATTAATTTTAAAATGTAGAAATTAAAGTAATATTTCAAATATTTTGATGCTAAATAAATTATATTTAAAGCACAATTTCTTATTTTAGAAATTATAAATAAGAACAAAAATGTAAATACATACACACACACACACACACACACACACACACACACACACACACACACATATACATTACACACATATATATATATATATATATATATATATATAAAACCAACAATAAAAATACAATCTAAATAAAAGCATTTACGTTATTTTAGAATTTTTGCATCAAGAAATCCAATACCATAATCTAGTATCATAGTAATCTTTGAATATAGAAACGTTTGACATTATGATACTTTAAAATGCACTTAATATGTGAAATATTCGCACAAAATTAATGACTAGCTGTAATATCGAATTGTATAGACGAGATTATGTCGTTCGCTCGAATCGATTTCCGATCAACATTTCGCTGTACGTTCAATCGCTGACATTTCCCTCAGCGAAAACGTCTAATAGACGAGGACATTGACATTGCATTTCAAGTTTCGAGCACAAAGGCTGTCACTGCTACTTCGTGCAGCGATTCGTTT